CAATATGGCCAAATGTGAACAGTGGTGGTGTTTGGGGAAAATAGACCTTGACATTTGGGAGTTGGAGTTGCTGGGATTTATAGTTCACCTAAAATCAAAGAGCATTCTGAACCCCACTAACAATAGAATTGGACTAAACTTCCTACACAAAATCCCCAAGACCAACAGAAAATACTGTGTTTTCTGATGGACTTTGGCGACCCCTCTGACACTCCCCAGGAGTCGGACCCCCAGGTTGAGAAATGGTGCTCTAATACATCTCACCAAAAAGATACACACCTAGAATCATAGAATCATAGAGTTAGAAGAGACCTCATGGGCCATCCAGTCCAACCCCCTGCCAAGAAGCAGGAAAATTGCATTCAAAGCACCCCTGACAGATGGCCATCCAGCCTCTGTTTAAAAGCTTCCAAAGAAGGAGCCTCCACCACACTTTGGGGCAGAGAGTTCCACTGCTGAACGGTTCTCACAGTCAGGAAGTTCTTCCTAATGTTCAGATGGAATCTCCTTTTACTTGTGTCACCTAAGATATAGCTACAGTACGGAGACATTAAAGGAACATGCATGCATGAGGATAAACCCATTTCCCTCTGCATGTATGTTAGCCTACATCAAAGCAGAATTAAAGCCATCACAAACACCAATATCGCTCTAAACCCAAATATCTCCAGTTCCACTGACACATTCAGAACTGATCCCAAAAGATATGTGACTGATATTAAGATTGTGCTTAATATCCTAGAAAGGTACTGGGTGCACACAAAGATGCCATGGAGATGTAGTAGCCTCGCTTTTGCACAAGCGTGTTCACACTTACAATATGGGGAGGATGATTATAGGCTGGTTATATTTGAACCAACCCACAATGTATGCATATCTTCAAACGCTGCTGTAAACATTGGAAAATGAACACGCACTCTCCAAATGGTAAGGAATGTGGTTCTGGATTGTAGGAACATAATGGGAATGGGGTTGTCTAATAGGAATCTAGTGGGGAGAACTTTCCAAATTCACACTTGCCGTTTTCACACTGGTGTTGGTAAGCACCATTTATTACATACCAGATTCTCAACCACTTTAGTAGAAAAGCCATTGTAAAGGCACATTAAGGTAAAATAGATTATCTGGATTGTATTCCCAGTGTCTGAAATGAGACAGATCCAAACCCTGACAAAACACACACTTTATCAAAATCCAATTTTTGTTGTTGCAAAGATGGAGCTCTTTGGAAACCTCTTCAGGGTACTTTCCACTGGATGGCATGATTCAAAGTGCTATCACACATGGTTGGTTGTGGGGGAAACGTGGGGGGAAAATAGCCTATTGTTTCCTCCAAAATCCCTGCAGAAAAAAATCAATCGAAGTCTGTCAGAGTGTAAAGTCCAGGAGGAGAAAAACGTGCTCTGAGTTCAGACTATAGAATGATAGAGTTGAAAGAGACACCAAGGGCCATCCAGTCCAACCCATTCTGTCATGCAGGAAAACACAATCAAAGCCCTCCCGACAGATGGCCATCATAGAATGATAGAGTTGAAAGAGACACCAAGGGCCATCCAGTCCAACCCACTCTGTCATGCAGGAAAACACAATCAAAGCCCTCCCGACAGATGGCCATCATAAAATCATAGAGTTGGAGGAGACCTCATGGACCATCCAGTCCAACCCCATTCTGCCAAGAAGCAGGAAAATAGCATTCAAAGCACCCCCAACAGATGGCTATCCAGCCTCTGTTTCAAAGGCTCCACCACACTCCGGGGCAGAGAGTTCCACTGCTGAATAGCTCTCACAGTCAGGAAGTTCTTCCTCATGTTCAGATGGAATCTCCTTTTCTGTAGTTTGAAGCCATTGCTCCATTGCGTCCTAGTCTCCAGGGCAGCAGAAAACAAGCCTGCTCCCTCCTCCCTATGGCTTCCCCTCACACCTCTATCCATGGCTCTCATCATGTCTCCTCTCAGCCTTCTCTTCTGCAGGCTAAGCATACCCAGCTCTTTAAGCCGCTCCTCATAGGGCTTGTTCTCCAGACCTTTGACATTTGAGTCACCCTCCTCCGGACACATTCCAGCTTAGAGTCAACATCTCCCTTCAATTGCGGTGCCCAGAATTGGACACAGTGTGATTCCAGGTAAAGTGGTCTGACCAAGGCAGAAGAGAGGAGTAGCATCCAACCTCTGCTTAAAAGCCTCAAGAGGAGACTTCACTATGCTCCGAGGCAGCATATTTCACTGCTGAACAGCTCTTACCATCAGGATATTCTTCCTAATGTTTAGGTGGAATAGCTGTTCCTGCTACTTGAATCAATTGCGTTGTGTCCACTGTGTGGACAATGTAACACCCTTCCACAATATGACATCTTCTCACATATTTAAGCCTGGCTCTCACGTCCCCTTTCAGCCTTCTTTTCTTCAAGCTAAACACCCCCAGCTCCCCGTAGAGCAGTGTTTCTCAACCTGGGGGTCAGGACCATCCGAAAACACAGTATTTTTATTTATTCTGTTTGTCATGCGGGTTCTGTGTTGCAAGTTTGGCCCAATTCTATCGTTGGTGGGGTTCAGAATGCTCTTTGATTGTAGGTGAACTATAAATCTACAACTCCCAAATATCAAGGTCTATTATCCCCAAACTCCACCAGTGTTCACATTTGGGCATGTTGAGTATCTGTGCCAAGTTTGGTCCAGATCCATCATTGTTTGAGTCCACAGTGCTCTCTGGATGTAGGTGAACTACAACTCCAAAACTCAAAGTCAATGCCCACTAAACCTTTCCAGTATTTTCTGTTGGTAATTGGAGTTCTGTGTGCCAAGTTTGGTTCAATTCCATCATTGGTGGAATTCAGAATACTCTTTGATTGTAGGTGAACTATAAATCCCAGCAACTACAACTCCCAAATGTCAAAGTCTGTTTTCTCTAAACTCCACGAGTGTTCACATTTGCACACATTGAGTATTTGCCAAGTTTGGTCCAGATCCACAATTGTTTTGAGTCCACTGTGCTCTCTGGATGTGGGTGAACTACAACTCCAATGCCCACCAAACCCTTCCAGTATTTTGTCTTGGTCATGGGAGTTTTGCGTGCCAAGTTTGGTTCAATTCCATCATTGGTGGAATTCAGAATGCTCTTTGATTGTGGGTGAACTATAAATCCCAGCAACTACAACTCCCAAATGACAAAATCAAGACCCCCACCAACCCCACCAGTATTCAAATTTGGGTGTATCGGGTATTTGTGCCAAATTTGGTCCAATGAAAGAAAATACATGGGTTGTTGTAGGTTTTCTCAGGTTATATGGCCATATTCTAGAGCAGTGGTTCTCAACCTTCCTGATGCCACAACCCTTTAATACAGTTCCTTATGTTGTGGTGAACCCCAACCATAACATTATTTTCATTCCTACTTCAGAACTGTAATTTTTCTGCTGCTATGAATTGTTCACTGGACCAAATTTGGCACAAATACCCAATACACCCAAATTTGAATGCTGGTGGGGTTGGGGGGGGGGGAGGTGTTTTTGTCATTTGGGAGTTGTAGTTTCTGGGATTTATAGTACACCTATAACTCTGAACTCCACCAACGATGAAATTGAACCAAATAAACCAAACTTAGCACAAAGAACTCCCATGACCAACAGAAATTACTGGAAGGGTTTGATGGACATTGACCTAGAGTTTTGGAGTTGTAGTTCACCTATATCCAGAGAGAACCGTGGACTCAAACCATGATGGATCTGGACCAAAGTTGGCACGAATACACAATATGCCCAAATGTGATCACTGGTGGAGTTTGGGGGAAATAGAGCTTGACATTTGGGAGTTGTAGTTGCTGGGATTTATAGTTCACCTACAATCAAAGAGAATTCTGAACCCCATGAACGATAAAATTGGGCCAAACTTCCTACACAGAACCCCCATCAACTGTGTTTTCTGATGGTCTTTGGCGACACCTCTGACACTCCCTTGTGGCCCCCCCCCAAGGGTCCCGACCCCCAGGTTGAGAAACCCTCTTCTAGAGTCATTCTCTCCTGACTTTTCACCTGCATCTATGGCAAGCATCCTCAGAGGTAGTGAGGATACATCCTGCATATCTGATATTTATATTATGATTCATAACAGTAGCAAGATTATAGTTGTGAAGTAGCAACAAAAATAATTTTATGGTCGGGGATCACCACAACACGAGGAACTGTATTAAGGGGTCTCGGCATTAGGAAGGTTGAGAAACACTGGTTTAGGTGGAGTATCCGTTCCTGCTACTTGAATCCACTGCGCTGTGTCCACTATGTGGACAATGTGACACCCTTCCACATTGTGACATCTTTTCACATATTGAAACCTGGCTCTCACGTCCCTCTCAGCCTTCTTTTCTCCAAGCTAAACACCCCCAGTTCCTCATAGAGCTTGGTTTACAAATCTTTCATCATTTTGGTCACTCTTCTTTGGGCTCTTTTGTCAGATGCAGACAATGGCTTTGAATGCCAGGGTTGCGCTCTCCTGGTCATCACAAACTCCACTCTCTGGCACACCTGCTTTGCCCTGCTCTTCTCATCATCACCCCCTTGCTGCCTGGCACACTCATGCTTCCAGCTTGGCAGCTCTTGTCTCTCACAAAGGCATCTGCCAGAGACATGTCTGCAGAGACACAATAGCTTTGCCGAGGCAACAGCCGCCCACCCTGGAAGACCGAGCCCTGGATCATACCTGCCGAAATGCCCCCTTTGCCCCTTATCCCACCAGGATTTCATCCTCACTATCTCTTTTCAAAAATGAGGGACCCTTTACTCTTCTTTGGCACCATCCACCGGCTTCCTTCCTCCGCTCCTTCTTTGCTTTCCAAGCCATCAATCATCTCCCTTTCAGATGCCTCATTTCCCACTTCTGGAAAGCAGGCAGGATGATATCTCTGAGCATGCCCCACCCTGAGAAGGTCACACATGTTTGGAAACTGGGAGTCCACTGGTGCCCAATCTCCACACACAGAAAGCCCCCAAAATAATATCACCAACCCACCTGTTTGAGAGGAAAAGAGACCAGGATCCAGAGGGAGAAGATGGCAGGGTGTTGGAAGGGATCCCAGGCGGTGCCCACGGCTCCCTGCAACCCAAATGAGGAGAAAGGAAAAAGATGCGTTGGGGATGACAGGCAGGTAGACCTAGGCAAAGGGGTGTGTTTCTGGAGAGAGCAGAAAAAAGGGAGGCGGAGAAGGCTGCTGGGAATGATTGGAGGATGGAGAGATGGATGGGGAGGGAGGGAAGAGGGAGGGTGGCCAGATGGGTGGGCAGATTAGGGTTTGGCTCAAGGGGGGATTAAGAAAGGCATAGGGAGGCAGGGGACGGTAAATAGCCGGACTGGGCATCTGCCCTGAGAAGGATGAATCGGGCAATTAATTACAGGACCAAAGATGCGGATGAATGAAGAGGCATGACAAGGAGAGAAGGGAGCCACTTTGCCCTTTGGCCAAAGCAGATGCTTGCTTTCCTAGAGAGTTGGACACACTGGAAAGCAGGCCTGAGCCAACTTGGACCCTCCAGGTGTTTTGGACTTCAACTCCCACCATTCCTAACAGCCTCAGGCCCCTTCCCTAAGCTCCCTCCACCGCTTAAGCGGCTGAGGGGGAAAAGGAAAGGGCCTGAGGCTGTTAGGAATGGTGGGAGTTGAAGTCCAAAACATCTGGAGTGCCCAAGTTGGCCCAGGCCTGCTTTAAGCCTTACACACATAGAAAATATGTAAACATGGAACATTTCTGTTTCCAAGTATTCCAGGCAAGGGATTCTCAACCTATACAGACAAGACGGTGAATATACGAGGGTGTTAATTAACCATTTCTCCTTATTTATCGTATCAGAAGTAAACATAGTTGTGAAGTTTTAAGTTTAAAAACTTGGCATTCTATTAAATGTCCTTTGACCAGAAGCTGGCCACTTGGAGTGCCTCTTGTGTTGCTGTAAGAAGGTCCTCCATTGTGCATGTGGCAGGGCTCAGGCTGCATTGTAATAGGTGGTCTTCTCCACACTCGCATGTTGTGAACTCCACTTTGTGGCCCCATTTCTTAAGGTTGGCTCTGCATCTTGTGGTGCCGGAGCACAGTCTGTTTAGTGTGGCCACATTTTTTAAGGTTGGCTCTGCACCTCGTGGTGTCACAGCACAGTCTGTTCAGCACCTTCCAAGTCGCCCAGTCTTCTGTGTGCCCAGGAGGGAGTCTCTCATTCAGTATCAGCTATGGGTTGAGGTTCCAGCCTGCCACTTTTGGACTCTCGCTTGCTGAGGTGTTCCTGCGAGTATCTCTGTAGATCTTTGGAAACTATTTCTTGATTTAAGGCATTGGCATGCTGGCTAATATCCAAACAGAGAATGGGCCAAAGATGTCACTGCCTTGGTCCTTGCATTATTGGCTGCTGCTTCCTGATGAATGTCAGGTAGTACAATGCCAGCTAAACAGTATAATTTCTCCAGTGGTGTTGGGCATAGACATCCTGTGACAATGCGGCATGTCTCATTAAGAGCCATATCTACTGTTTTAGCGTGGTGAGATGTGCATGCATACTCAGCAGCAGAGTAGCAAAGCACAAAGGCAGGTGTCTGCACTGTGTCTGGTTGTGATCCCCAGGTTGTGCCAGTCAGCTTTTGTATGATATTGCTTCTAGTGCCCACTTTTGGCTTGATATTCAAGCAGTGCTTCTTGTAAGCCAGAGAGATTCCTAGGTATTTGGGTGTGCTGCAATGCTCCAGTGGGATTCCTTCCCAGGTAATCCTCAGAGCTCGAGAAGCTTGTCTGTTCTTAAGATGGAAAGCACACGTCTATGTTTTAGATGGATTAGGAATCAGCTGGTTTTCCCTGAAATAGGCAGCAAGGGTACCTAGAGCTTTGGAGAGCTTCTGTTCAACTATTTCAAAGCTCCCTGCTTGAGGGGTGATGGCATGATCATCAGCATAGATGAAACCCTCAGTCCCTTCTGGCAGTGGCTCATCATTTGTGTAAATGTTAAACACTGATGGAGCAAGCATGCTCCCCTGAGGTAGGCCGTTCTTCTGTGTTCGCCATCTGCTTCTCTGGCCCTGGAACTCAACAAAAAAAAGCTCCTGATTTGTAGCAGATTCCCTATGAAGCGAGTGAAGTGGTAGTCCTTTGTGATATTATCAATTTTTCTCAGGAGAAGGTGATGATTTACAGTTAACGATTTTCCCTGACCCACTTCTATTTATCACAGGATGCTGAAACTACATATGTATAATGATAGAAGTCTCAATAGGTTATGTGCCAATTTGCAACTCAGAACTGATAACAGTCTTGATTTTACAGGTGCTGAAGTAGTGTGAGGTTTGATCATGGACCCAGTAGAATAGAGATGAAATGAAAGAGGTTGATGGTGATGATTCCCCATCATGTCATGGAGTCAAGAACTAGCATTGTCCATTCAAATGTGGTCATACTTCAGTGAAAACAGCTCCAAATACTCTGCTATTGATGAATATACCATCCAGCAAGTGGAGGTCACCATTTTGGAAAATTGTTGCATAACCAATCACCACCTAGCCCAAAATGTCAAGATGAATGTGTGGTCCATGGAAAAAATCACCCAAGACCATTTTCACATGCATAAAGTATCCACTTGCTGGATCCCCCAGGTGCTCACACCTTTCCAGAAGCAGGAACGAGTCAAATGCTCTCAGACTATTGACATTGTGCCATGGAAACCAGGATGTTTTCAACAGACTGATCACACAGGAGGAAAACTGGGTCCATCACTATGATCCTGAGACTAAAGTCCAGTTGATGCAATGGAAGCATCATGACTCACCCTCTCCAAAGAAGGCACATGCCCAACTCTCAGCAGGCTAGGTCATGCTCAGAGTATTTTGGGACCAGCATGGAGTAATATTGATGGATTTCCTAGCAAAGGGTACCACGATCACTGGGGCATACTATGCTTCACTGCTGCAGAAATTGTGGGAGGCCATCAAAACCAAGAGGCAATGTGGCATGCTCACCAAAGGTGTCCACCTCCTGCAAGACAATGCACCAGTTCACAACTCACCAGTTGTCCAAATGGAAGAAGCATGCTCCTGTGGCTTTGAAATTCTACCGCATCCCGCTTATTCACCCGACCTCGCACCATCGGACTTCCACCTCTTTCCAACAATGAATTTATTTTTGAAGGGAAAGCATTTTTCAGATGATGAGATTCTGATTTCTGAAGCCACAACATGGCTTTTGGAGCAAACTGTCGACTTACACAAGTGAGGTGTTTACAGTTGCTTAACAAGAAGGGAGAAGTGTATGTCCCTCAGTGGCACCTACGGAGAGAAGGACTCACAACTGTGCCAAGTTTCATTGCTCTCAGTCCACAGAAAGTGGGTCAGGGGAAAACTTTAATGAACACCCCTTGTAGGAATAAGACAAATGAATAACCAAAACAAGCACAGAAGGCAGAGGCAGTAAATTAAGTTCTTTAATGGGGAACGAAAGAGAGAGCAAGCACATGGTTAGCTTTGATTGCTGGATGGTTCTGGAGGGGAAGGGATGCCAGCCTCTCTCTTGCTTTAAAGATGCTGAATTGGCTGCTGGGCCTCATTAGGCAGCAGAGGGGGAGGGGGCAAATTATCCTATTAGTCACGGGTGGGAGGATGCTAATTAGGCTTAATTAATGCTTGCCGGAGGGTAAGAGAGGTTTCCCCTTCCCCGGGAGACATTGCAAATGAGGCTGAGGCTAACTGGGCCATGGAAAAACCCCTGGGGACTCTGGTATCTCTCCATTTGTACATACCTGGATTTCAAAAAACTGGAGCATTCAAATGAAAAACAGAAGCACAGTGAGCTAGTCCTCATGGTGCACCATCAGTTTGATATTTGAAAGGATGTCACATTGAGAAGACAAGCTTGTTTTCTCCTGCCTTGAAGTCCAGTGGGTTCTCTTTCTCTGGAGGTTTGAAGCAGAAGCTGGATGTCTATCTGTTGGGAGGACCTTGATTGTGACCCTTGGAGTCTATCTCACCTCAAATGATTCTATGATTCAATAGTGACCCAACTGGGTTGTTGTAGGTTCTTTCAGGCTATATGGCCATGCTCTAGAGGCATTTTCTCCTCACGTTTCGCCTGCATCTATGGCAAGCATCCTCAGAGGTAGTGAGGTAACCTTAGATGTTGTCTTTGCATGGAAAGCAATGCAATCTTCTTCCAACCCACAACTTCAGAGATTTACTATCCGTATTGTTTCATTCCTTAGAGGACAATTCCCAGGCTGCTTTCAGAGCAACAAGCAGGAGATGAGCACCAAGAAGGGCATTGCAGCCCGTGGCATTGCAGCCATTTGGCATTACTTTTATTAATCCAGAGTGACACTTCCCTCTCCCTGAATGTCTGAAGCACCAGTTGGGCCATGCACTGCTTTGGAAATCCTCTTCTCTGTAGGTTTTGAAATAGAGGCTGGATGGCCATCCATCAGGAGGGCTTGGATGGTTTTCTCCTGTCTGGTAGGATGGGGTTGGACTGAATGGCCCTAGGGCTCTTTTCCAACTCTAGTGTTCTACACAAAAGGAATCACCTGCCATAGATGCAGGCGAAACCTCAGGAGAGAATGCTTCTGGAACATGGTCATACAGCACAAAAAACTTACAGCAACCCAGAATTGCCTTCGTCCAGTTCCTGATTTAGGAGCTGCATTGACAAAGTAAACCTGTCCTGAGTAAAATTACCATTATCATCTTCTTCCCACCATTTTGCATCTCTCAATTTCATTAGCAATAGAAGTGAGGCCAAAATGGGACTGCAGGGCCATTTTTAACCATTTTGCTGGATGGGGAATTCTTGGACTTGTTGTTCACCAAGTACCTTTGTCCAAACCATGCTGAAAAGGAATTCAGGGGTAATTCAGGAGCCAGCGTGGCATCATGGTTGAGCATTGGGTACATCTACACTGTAGAACGAATGCAGTTCGACACCACTTTTACTGCCATGGCTGCAGATTTTCAAGGTCTTTAGCCCAGGCATAGGCAAACTTCGGCCCTCCAGGTGTTTTGGACTTCAACTCCCATAATTCCTAACAGCTTAAGTGGCTGAAGGGGGGAAAGGAAAGGGCTTGAGTCTGTTAGGAATTATGGGAGTTGAAGTCCAAAACACCTGGAGGGCCGAAGTTTGTCCATGCCTGCTTTAGCATCTTCTGCCAAAGAAGACTGGTACTCCACTAAACTACAATCCCCACGATTCCATTAGCCCTGAGACATGGCAG